TTCTTCATCCATTCATCCGTTGATGGATACTTAGTTTGATTCTAAATCTTGGCTACTGTGAATAGTGCTGCAATAAACGTGGGAGTGCAGATACATATATTTTTCATATGCCAGGTCATGTGATAGTTTTATTTTTAGCTGTTTGAGGAACTTCCCCACTTTCTCCATAGAGGTTTCACTAATTTACATTCCCACTAACAGGGCACAAGGTTCCTCTTTCTCCATATCCTCACCAGCTTTGTTATTGCCACTCTTTTTGACAAAAGCCATTTTAACTGGGGTGAGATGAGATCTCATGATAGTTTTGATTTGTATTTCTCTGAAAATATTAAGCACTTTTTCACATATTTGTTGGATATTTGAATGTCTTCTTTTGAGGAACGTCTAGTCAGATCCTTCAATCGGAGTAATTGATTTTGTTTCCTCTTGAGTTGTTGGAACTCCTTTTATAGTCTAGTTATTAATCTCTTGTCAGATGAGTAGTTTGCAAGTATCTTCTCCCAACCTATGGGTTGTCTGTTCACTTTGTTGATTGTTTTCTTTGCTGTGAAAGGTTTTTAGCATGATGTGATTCTATTTGTCCAACTATGCTTTGATTGCCTGTGCTTTGGGGATATAACTCATAAAGTCCTTGCCCAGACCAATGTTCTTATGTTTCTCCAATATTTTCTTTTCATAGTTTGGATTTTAATAGAACTCAGAATTGTTCGAGATAATATGCAAAATTTTCAGGAATAATCTAAAATTATGCAAGATACAAAAATTAAAAACACAGAAAACGTGATGAATTCTCATGAGAAAATACAATCAGACATCAACCTTAAGATAACACAAGTACTGAAAATTTTCCAGGGACCTTAAAACAACTCATGCTCAATGAGGTAAAGGGAGATATCCTTGCAATGATTAGAAAGATATTCTTAGCAACGAAATACAAACTATTAAAAATGTTTACTTGAAAGATAGGATATCTAAAATGTAAAGTCACTTGATGGTCTCAATAACACAATGAAGGAGACGGAAGAAACAGTAAAATTGAAAACAGAGAAATAGAATTTATCCAATCTCTACCACAGAAAGGAAAAGATCACAAAATCAGTCCAAAATCTCTGGGACAATATAAAAAGGATATAATATTCTGATATTGGAGTTTCAAATGAAAAGGATAAAGATTTTTCTGCAAAGAAATTTTTTTCAAGACAAAATGATAGAAAATTTAAATTTGGTAAAAGATGTAAATTTTTACAACCTAAGAAAAACAGACAGAACAAACCCAAGCAGAACAACCCAAAGATAAACAAACACATCCACATTATAATCAAACTACTGAAAACTAAAGATGAAGAAAAAAAATCTTGAAAGCAGACATTAAAAACTGATCCATTATACTTGGGGAACAACAGATTAAAGGACTATTGATATCAGAAATCAAGCTTTTCAGAAGACATTGGAATAGCATTCATAAAGTGCTAAAAGAGCATCCGACCCAGAATTTCATATCCAGTAAAAATATCTATCAGAAATGACGGCAAAATAAAAACATTCTCAACTGACGGAAAACTAAGAGAATTCATTGTCAGCAGATCTTCTCCAAGTCAAAGGCTGAAAGAAATAATTCAAATTAAAATGTTACTTAATGGAACCTGGAACTTTTTGAATTCTTTCAAATACATATAACTATAAAAAACAAAAATATAGACATTGGTGGAGTTCTCGGTGTATGTGGATATAAGACATATGACAGCTACGACATAAAAAGGGAACAGTAATTTCTGAAGCAACTGCTAAAAATATATGCAAAAGTAAAAACAGATAAGTAAATTACTAAAAAAGTTAAAATAATCAAAATTAAGGTAAATGAAGGAGAACAGAGAAATGTACACCCTGATGAAGGCACAATCAAAGCCAATAATAAAATACAAAAAAAATAGATAAAAATATAACACCAATTGTATTTGTCCTTTTAGGCTGCTATAACAAAATACCATAAGCTATGTGGTTCATAAACAAAACATATTTATTTCTCACAGCTCAAAGGACTGGAAAATCGAAGATCCAGGCCTCAGAAGATTTGGTGACTGGTGAAGGGTCTTGTCTTTGTCCCTCCCTTTCACTTTCATGTTGTTACAAAAGAATACATTTCCAAAGCTGGGTAATTCATGAGAGACCCACTCTCAAAACCCCAAAACCTCCCACCAAGCCTCAACTCCTAACTGCTACATTTGGGATCCAATTTCAATATGAGTTTTGGCAGGGACAAACCATACTCAAGCCGTAGCATGGTAGCTTGTTTTTCATAGATCGTAGCTTCTGTGTCCTCATGGGGTGGAAGGAATGAAAGATCTCTTTTATGCCTCTTTTGTAAGGGTTGTCATCCTATTCTAGAGAGCGCTGCTCTCGTGACCTAATCATCTCCCAAAGGCCCCATGTCTCCATACTATCACTTCAGCAGTTAGAATTTCAACACATGAATTTGTGAGGGGAAGGCATGGGCAAAAACATCCAAATTACAGGGAAAATCTTATCAAAGATTATATATGTAAATGGTCTAAACTTGCCTATTAAAAGACAGAGACCGTCAGATTGAACTTCAAAAAAAAACCCTCTTATAAGCTATTCTATTACTGTTAGCTGACCCTGAATATTCATTTTAATGCATGAAAATAAAAATAAAATTTTATCTGTGGTTGAGATGAATAGCACGTTAATTACTTTCTCTCTAGTTTTAGAAGATTTATTTATTTATTTAAATATGCTTTAAATGTCTGGCTGGTGCAGCTCTGCTCTATAGCAAAGTTGGCCAGACCGACTCAAGCCACTATGTACTGACTACTCAACAGCCATATTTACCCTCCTTCCTTGTTAACAGAGCTCCAATTTGTTCAGCCTCCAGAGAAGAATCAGTGTGGTCCAGATGAATTGTAAAGATCTCTCTTTTTTGGGTTAATGACCCACAGAGGCACACATGACTCAATTTTGGCCAATGGCATATAAAAAGTCTGTTTTGGCCATCTAGGAAATAAATAAAATTTCTTTCTAAGAGGAAAGATTTTTTTTTTTTTCCCTGCAGATATACCCTTGCTGTATGTTGTTTTAAACTCTATTGTGTGAAAGAGATACCTAAAGGTTAGGTAAACATGGCAGAGAATGTAGGTAGGTAAAGAAGTCAGATGAACCAACCCTACAGTACCTACTATACTACCAAACTCCTCGTCAAGTAAACAAGAAATATACTTACTAAGCCACTGCTGGTCACGCAATGTTACCAGTAGTTAAAACTGACACGTGAGCATAGAATGCCATGGCTGCAATTCTGTCCTTTCATCATTCTGTTAGGCCCATTGCCCTTTCACCCTCCCCCCACCTAGCCACTTAATTTGGAAGGGAGAGGTTTGGAGAACATCTTTCTGGAGACAGTGAAAACAAAGTAGAATAAGTGATAGAGCACTTCTCATTTATTGCACAACCAATACTACTACATGGGTTGGAATTCATTGATCAGTCAACAAACATTTATTGAGCACTTATTCTATGCTAAGTTTTGTGTTAGGTACTAGAAGCAAAAGTAAAACAAACAAACAAACAATAAGTTCCATGACTGAAGTGGAGGTGATGGACAATATGTAAATAAACACATGTAGTCAGGTTGTGTTAGGAAGAGAGTACAGGCATGATGGGGGCTACTCTAGGCAAAACTGTCAGCGAATAACAGCTTTTTCAGAACTCTATGAATAACTAAATTTGTGGCCTTTTCCACTTCGACAGGTAAATAGGAAACGTTGAATGTGTAAACCCTTATTAAAGTTCCACATTAATAATCCAAATCCCAAGAGCGCACTACAGCAACGTTTCTTCTCATCTCTTCCTCTTTTTTTCTTTTTACTTTTCTTTTTCTCGCTCCCTTTTCTTCCTTCCCTCCCTCCCCTACACTAGAAAAAAAATTTAATCTTTATTATTAATCAATCCATGATAACATCCATGGAATTTTGCTACGGGGATAACTTAAAGGATTAGACCATGATGGCCAGATAGTGACAGCTTGATAGAAGGTGAAAGAAGAAAAGAAATTTAGAACAGAGAAAGAATGGTGAATTACAGAAAAATAAACAGAGGAACTGCGAAAGAGGCGGTGGGCGTGGGGGAACAAATTCATTAAGGCCATTGGAAATTTTTGTGGATGTGATACCGAGATCAGGTATCACAGGCCTTTCGGGTGGGGCAGAAAGGACCTGAATCATGGCCTTATTTAAAGCAGGAAGAATTAAGAGTTCCCGCTACTCCCAGCTTTTCGAGACTGCAGGGCCTGAGGGCAGTTCTCCTTAGGAGTTACACCAGGTTTTAGAACCACAGCCTTCATTTTTCTAGTCTGTGGTTTTACGTAGGCTCAGAATTCAGCTCTCAGGAGAGGAGGGGCTCAGGAACCTGGAAGTTAGTAGAGGCCGAGTTGTTCGGGAAAGTTGTGATGTGGCCGGCCCTGAAGGTCTCGCAAAACGTCTATTCCCTCTTGGGTACTGCAAAAGTAATGGTAAACACAAACCAGTTGGAGTCACAGTTTCAGGTTCTAGGGCGAACCCCGTGACTCTTTCAAACAGTACTCGAGGTACTAGAAACCCCGCCCCCGTCCGTAACCATAGGAACGCTGACACGCCGGGAGCTGGAGCTACCTCGTTCCGCCCCCTCCCTGACAGATATTGTTTCCCACAGTCTGTCCACATGGGCGCACCGCTTCGCTATTGGTCCGGACCCCAGGACTGTGCCTTGCCCTAGCCAATAAACGACCTGTGCACGTGCATGCTTGCGTATCTCGATTGGTCAACACTCCCTGATCACGCACTGCCTTCCTGCGCCAACCCACGCGTGGGAGCGCCAATGAAATGACTCAGAGGCCATTTACAACTAATCGGCGAGAAGCACAGCTCACAGCTGGCCAATGGGCGCCCGCCGGGGGTGGACTGCCCCAGCCCCTTTCCAGTCCCAGCTGGGTTTGTTAAAGCGACAGGCCCCAAGGCGGGCTGGTGCTCCACCTGGTACCTCACAGCCGCACGGCAGCCCTCAGGGTGCGGCCAGCGCCGGTGACAGCGGCGCTGCGGGGTTGCCGACCCCAGCTCCGGTCCTCTGCCGACCTGTGTCGTGGGGCCACATCTCCCGGCGGGATGGGAGGCGAGGCGGGGTCGGCGGCGGCCGTGGGCTCGGAGGGCCGCGTGAAGAGCCTGGGTCTGGTGTTCGAGGATGAGCGCAAGGGCTGTTACTCGAGTGGCGAGACAGTGGCCGGGCACGTGCTGCTGGAGGCGGCCGAGCCGGTGGCCCTGCGTACGCTACGCTTGGAAGCCCAGGGCCGCGCCACCGCCGCCTGGGGTCCCAGCACCCGCGCCAGCGCCACGACCCCGGCCGCAGCCTCGGAGGTGGAGTACCTGAACGTGCGCCTGAGTCTGCAGGAAGCCCCGGCCGGTGAGCGCGGGCGACCACCTGGGTCTCCCCGTCAAGCCACGGCGGGGCCGGGGAAGGGCAGGGAGGGGCGCGCCGGTGGGATGCCCACCTGGCAGGTGGGTTCAGAGCAGGCTTTGGGGGTGGGGCCGCCCCGTGGGAGACTGGAGCCTGGATGTGGACGCAGGTAACAATGCCGCGGGCCCAACCTCTCGGCAACCAAGAGGGTGCGCAGCTCTGCCGGTCGCTCAGCCCCTGGCTCACCCAGGCCTGCCCAATACCCGGCGTCCCTAGATCTTCTGGACTGCTAAGGGTGTAGGCCACTGGTTGTCATGGGAACCTCTGATTGAACAGCGGGGGATCTGGGGACCTAGGTCCTGATCCTTTTGGCCTGAGGAATGAAGGGGAGAACCAGTGTCTTTGAGGTTCCTTTCTGGGGGGCCCAGTGAACCTAGATGTTGGTTTTTGGTTCATGATGAATTAGCAGAAACTCAGTCTTGGGAAGAGGGAAGTAGTTCCTGAAGGGTAGAAGTTCAAAGGAAGTGTTTCTAGGCTTGACCATCACACTTGGTTTCCCTCTTTGGGGGAGCGAGGCAGTTTAGCAAGAATTCCGCCTATACTGGATACTGCTCTTCCCTTCCTTTGCATCCTCTTTCTACCCCTCTTCTCCCCCCCCCCCACCCAAAAGACCCTCTGGGCGGCATTTCTTGATTACTCTTCTTGTTCACTTCATGAGGTCCAGTTAGTAGTGTAGGCTTTTTAAGAAATACCCATGTGGGGGCCCACTACATGGGTATTACTTTAATATTAGGTACAAAAATTGATCCCCTTAATCACAAAAATACTAAGAATGGTAGATCTTAGTCTTTCAGTGGGTGGAAACTATTTTAAACTTTTACCTGACTGCCTCATCAGGAAATCAAATCAAATAATGGTATGCACCCTCCCTCCCTCAAGAGTAAAAAGGATTGTATCTGTACACCTAACCCATGCTGTGTCTCACACAAAATAGAACAGGCCATTTTGTCTTACCCTGCTATGAAGAAGTAGACTCTTCACAGATAAATTCTCAAAGTTTGTGATGATCTGAGAGGTCCCAGAATTGTACTGAAGAAAAACCACATTTGGAACCAAAGCCTTCTTTTGGATAAGTAAGAACAGAGAGTTAGGTGGCACTTCTAACCTGCCTTCATACCCTTTCATTATCAGTATAGTTTCCAGGTCAGCCCAGGCATGCCTTCGCCAGTGGTCACAGACCACACAGGTTTTCAAGATGGAGTAAAGGGCCATGGCAGATTTGTCCAGGACTTTGGACTTTCTGTATCTCTGAGCCCATTACTACTGAACAAATAAATGTGAAATTGAAAGCAGTTGAACTTGGGATTAGCAGTGAAGTTTTGCTTTTGTAACACTGGGCTAATAGGTAGTTTTTGTTATTTGCAAGTCAGGTTTCATTTTTTTCATCCTGATGGAATGGAATGTCTAAACCTAGACAATTTGAAAACTTTCATCTTGTTTTAGAATTAATCATAACAGATATTGGCAACAATTATATTTTACTTAAAATCATAGTCTCTTTTAGATGTGGGTAAAATATCATTCCTAATATACATATATGTGTAGCTTGAAAGAAGTTAGTAACTTGACATAATCATTGATTCTCGGGGTCCTTTAATTACAAAATCTGGCCATATTTCAGTCACCTGAAAAGATTTTTAGAAATCTAGACTTCTGGGAAATGTGGCCCTAGGACCTATATTTTAAAAAATCTCCCTAAATCCAACTTACTGCTATAATTGTGACTGATTTTCTTCATATTTTTATTGAGAAACTGTGGTAGAAAGACAGCAAGACAGAAACAGAGAATCCTTTTCAGCTCTTGGTCACCCACCAGCAGTGTGACCTTATACAGTCACTCACCTTCCCAAGCCCCAGTCTCTACCTCTGTAAGGGTCCTCTAGATCCTATAGTTCATGAAAAAACTTCCAATTATGAGCTTTGGCTATAAAACCATTAGCAAATGAAACCTCTCCCTGTGACTTTGGAGTTCTCAGTATATAAGACAAAAAACAGAAGCAGAAATGGCTACAGCTTGTGAAACTTAATTTAAAACAGTAAAAATTAAAGGGAGGGAATAAAAAATATTTGGTTCTGAAAACTATCACCTGTTTCTATCAGATTTTCTTTTTTTTTTCCCTGTTTATGTTTTGAGATGATTGGAAGTCTCATTTTTTTTATTGTTAAATCATGTTTGTGCACATTAATACTATCATGGGGTACAGTGTGTTGTTTCCATATACAATTTGAAATACTTTCATCCAGTTGGCCAACATGGCCTTCATGTCATTCTCATAGTTGTTGTGTTAAGACATTTATAATCCACATTTAGAAAGATTCACATGTACCCTTATAAGATAAATCATAGGCGTGATCCCTGCAATCTCCCTCCATTCACCCATCCTCCCCCCCTACACTTTCCCCGTATTCTTGGACAAAAATTGGGTTATAGCTTTCCTATGATGGCTAACAGTTAGTTTCATAATAGGGTTGAGTACAATTTGATACTTTTTATTCCATTCTTGAGATACTTTGCTAAGAAGAATATTTTCCAGCTCCATCCATGTAAACATGAAGGAGGTAAAATCTCCATCATCTTTCTTTGTGGCTGCATAGTATTTCATGGTGTACATGTACCACAATTTATTGATCTATTCATGGATTGATGGGCACTTGGGCTTCTTCCATGACCTAGCAATTGTGAATTGGGCTGCAGTGAACATTCTGGTACAAATGTTTGTATTGTAGTGTGATTTTTTGGTCTTCTTGATATATACCTAGCAGAGGAATTATAGGATCAAATGGCACATTAATTTTTAGTTTTCTAAGTGTTCTCCAGATGACTTTCCAAAGGGACGTATTAGTTTGAATTCCCACCAGCAGTGCAGAAGTGTTCCCTGTTCTCCACAACCCTGCCAGCATCTTGATTTTGGGATTTTGTGACATAGGCTAATCTTACTGGTGTTAGATGATATCTCAAAGTAGTTTTGATTTGCATTTCTCTGATGATTAAGGATGATGAGCATTTTTTCATATATCTGTGGACCATGCGTCTGTCTTCAGAAGTCTCATTTTAAATGATATATATAGTTCCTGTGTTGATTTGTATCTCTATGAAGGGGGAACTTCATCTTTCTCCTTAGCCTCTTTCGATGTGATATCCTGGGCAACTCCCTGTTCTCCACATATTCCTGACATGCTCTTCCTCTTGCTGTTCCCTTCATCTAAACCCCTTCCTACTCCTCTCCATTACAACCCTCAGGTCCTTAAGGTGTCAGGCCTACCCACATTCCTGTGTGGAAGCTCTAGGTCAGGCATCCTCAAACTGTGGCCCGCCTAGGACATTTATCCGGCCGCCCAGGTATTGTTGCTGCCACTGCCTGTCCTGCATAGCAGCCAACTCATCCAGGGCCCACAGTCCAGCCCTCCAAAGATTTGAGGGACAGTGAACTGGCCCCCTGTTTAAAAAGTTTGAGGACCCTTGCTCTAGGTTCTAACACTCTGTGGTCATTACTTTATGTACAAATGTCCCCTTTCTTCCCCCTGGTCTTTTTGAAGATTATCAACAGTGCCTGAAATCTAAGCAAAAATGAAATCTACATTTTTAATTATTTGTGAATACCTGCACTTGTCATGTTATGTAATGATTACAAATTATAACCTTAGCCTAGCCCTCTCAGGAGACTTGGACTTGCCTTGAGCCTTCAACTTGATAGCTATGAAGGTGAGATGCTTCCCTGACTTACAGTACTCTGTTTCTGCTGGGATACTTCTGAGCACATTCAAATCCTAGGCTCCCCCTAGCACTGTCATTGACTTGTTATGCCTCCAACTTACCCAACTGTGGAGTATTTCTAATCAAATGGTCTCAAGTGGCAGCTGTGTTACTTTCCCCCTCACCGGTGTATTACACATTGAAAATTGGAGATAGATTCAGAAGGCTTTATGGGCCAGTAGTGTGTTCCTATTTTCTAAAAGTACAAGTAAGGTCAGAATGTTAGCTGAACTTTTCAAGTTCATAAAATTCAAGTATTTAAATGAGGAAAAAAATTTTCACTAGTGATTTCTGCTAGTGATTTCTGCCCTTAAAAGATTTTTTAAATGAATAGATAAAGTAGAAATCTTAATTTTTAGTGTCAGGTGCCCAGGCAAATCTCTGACAGAGTTCTCTTTCTGTGTTCCCCTTTCTTATTATTTGTCACCCCACCACCACACACACACACACAGTGAGGGAATTTAGTATCTCAAGAGAGCCACCCAACCAGCACTTAAAACCTCGGAGTCTCTTTGGATCTGAATTAAACAGATTATCTGTGTACATTCATCAGAAGTCCCAGCAGTGCCTCTGGCTTTACAGGGTCTGTCCCCACCCTCATTTTGGTCTTCTCACAGTCATTGATTAGCCTCTGCATGAGCTAAAATTGAGCTGGCAACCCAAAGCAGGGCAAGGGGCCATGGCTATGCTTGGTAGAGCCCTTTTCTCCATTCCAGGTTAACCAGCAAGAAACTATTCATCAGTAGAGTGCCAGGGTAAAAACATGACTGCTTAATAACTTGTCTTGTTGGTTTAGCTGTTTTGTAATACAATACCTGCTATTAATATTCATGTTTCACTTCCTTTTCCATCTCTGTCCAAACACTTGTACATAGTGTGATTTTTTTTTTTTTGAGACA